CAGACGCATAGACTTTGTCATGAGCACGCTTTGCTGCCACCTCGTGTACAGCTTTTGGTCGTCCAGGTCTTGAACGTGGGGTTGAGGGTGAATTGTGACTGGCACGCATGATTCCGGGCGCATGCGACGCAGTGACTTCTCTCTGTGGCAACTTCCGGCAGTATTTGCATAGACACTTCGACATGTCCATTGTGGAATTCCGATAAAGCCATATCGCATGCGGAATGAACTCGTTGATAGAGCGGTATCGTCGATTAACGCTACCTATTGCACAAGTGAGATAGACAACAAGGAGACTTAGATAAAGAATTACCAAAGAGATACAAATCATGTCTTGGGTTGAGTGCGGGCCCCTTATGATGATCAAAGAAGGCATATCCTGCCGGCCATTCCCTCAGGATGTAGGAAGGGCTGGCTAAAAAGACATGTCAATAATGAGATATGAAACATGTAGGTGCTTAGACTAACCTGGCATACCAGTCGCCGCTGCAATTGCCTGTGCGACTCCCAGTCGCCACTTGATTGTTTGAGGATGTTCAAGAGTCAGAGGTTGCATATAGTTCACCTCTCCAGAGCTGTCGACTACTCGAGTAGTATTGGTTGGCCACCGCGATGAATTACCATCCGACCTTTCAAAGTCAAGAAAGTGAGGATTCTTTGGCATTTCTATCGCCTTTTCCGAGATTTTTCTTGCTGACATCTCGAAGGTCGATTTCAATGAAAAGGATGATGTCGAAGGCCAGCAAGAGTGATAAAGTATAAGCACGTGATGATTACGGCCTTGGAGTCTAATAACACCAAGCAGGGTGATTTTACTATATAACGACTTTTTTTAGCGGCTTGCTCTCGCCATATACAACAATGTTTATCATTTCTCCATTTGCTCTTTTTTTTGTCCTCTTTGCTTCTTTTGTCTTCTATTTCTGTCGACATGCCGTGACATTATCTACGTCTTGCACTTACCTTGGATGTGCCTGAACGTTAAACTACGCGGCGAGAGCGATCGTTCGTCCTCGCAGATCGCCTACCCTTCGCACGTTTCAGGATGGCGTTTTGAAGGGGTCGCATAGTCTATTAGTGTCTGTACTATTTACTACAAGAAATATACCTTATCATGTATCGCGAACCCGAGTGATTACGTATGTCACTGTCCGTGAATGACGCAGCTCTTTCTCCGTCTCGACACGTAGCCTGTCGGACAGGCGTTTATATCAACCATCTAACAACATATCACTATTTGAACTTGTACGACATCTAGCGTATCTTCAGTCATGTCCCATCCTACGTCAACGGCTGTTTCTCGCACGAACAGCGGAGGTTACAAGACCTCCGGAGGAACTCTCTACGTGTCCAAGCCTTATCGATCCAAGTCTTCCAAGACATTACGCGCGTTGATTACCTTTGCGCCCCGTAAATCTCATTTCGATAGTACGAATGAGTTGTCTGGTGAAAATGAGTTTCGAGTGGGTTGTTACCTTGTCTTTGCGTTCGACTTGTGCCACAATTACCACAGGGCTTCTTCTCCTTGTTTTGGATATCCATATTTATCTTTACGGTCCGCGTCTACGTGCGCGGCATCGAGTCCAACGGTCGCCCTCTCAACCTCGCCTTCGCGACCATGTTCTCTCAAGACTTGTTAACGCTCGCGATTAGTGATGCAGTCCTAGTCTTAAGCACAAGTTTATGTGTCCCCTTTGCATTTGCTCTGCATAAGCGTTGGATCAACTACTATTGGACCGGTTTGGTCTTGCAGCACATCTACCAAACGGCAGTTCTTGTTGCTGCGATCATATGGACATTTAACCGGTAAGTTAAACAATTGTGATTCATCGCCTGCAACACTGACATTGCGTTGTAGGAAGTGGCCTTGGGTCCAGTCCGGCTTCTTGACTCTGCATTCACTCGTAAGTTACCCGTCCATATGGTCATTCCTACATCGCTAAAGTCAATCTTAGGTCATGATCATGAAGATGCACTCCTACATGTCCGTCAATGGTCACCTTCAACAATCGGAAATGCAAAGTGAATTGGTGCTTAGAAAACTTCGTCGGGCTACCGATTCGGTCGGTGGCTGGGAAGCTGCTTTGAGGGATGCAAAAGTCCACCAACTGGAAGCAAAGGCTGCTGTGGACATTGGTGTTTTATCTCCTGAAGGTACTCCTATAGCAGGAACTCCAAATGTTCCTGAGGACTCGACATCATCCTACACCGACGTAGCTACTGCGAATGCTCTCCGTCGACGTCTTGCCGAAGTATCTCAAACCACCGAGGGCAATATATCGGTCGCAAAAATCCAAACAGGAAAGACATCTGAAACGCACACAGATACTCACTTTGTGCCTCACGGGTTGGTCGACCACCCAGATGAGCAGATTTCCGAGTTGGCGAGAGAATACTCTGACCTACAAAGCGAACTAACAAGCCTTGGACCACTTCATGTGACATGGCCAAATAATATGACCTTGGAGAATTTTGTTATCTACCAGCTCATGCCGACTCTTGTTTACGAATTGGAATATCCACGAACAGAGAGGTATGACAGAAATCTGATTAACTCAAGTCCTGCTGATGACGTTACGCGTAGGATCCGACCCATCTACGTGTTCGAAAAGACTGTGAGTCCGTAAGTTCTTCGGCTGGCTTTGACTGAAAAACGCGGTTCAGGCTGCTACGTTTGGTACATTCGCGCTTCTTTACACCGTGACGGAAACCTTTATACTACCCTACACACCTACTTACAATTCATCAATTCTACGGCTGCTGCTTGATCTCGCATTACCATTTATGATCGCATATCTTCTCCTTTTCTTCATCATCTTCGGTCAGTCACTTTAACTTTTGTTGACATTTGATGGTGCTGAACTCCCTGCAGAATGCATATGTAATGCATTCGCGGAACTCTCTTTGTGAGGCTGATATCGATTCAATATATCTCCTGGTTGTACTGATCAGGACTGGTATTAGCTTTGCTGATCGCCAATTTTACGAAGATTGGGTAAGCTCTAGGTTTGAACTCGCCCCTCTCTTTATTGATGAAAGACAATATAGTATGGGCGCTCTTGAACATCATGGTTGCTGACATTAATTTATAATGATAAACTCTAGGTGGAATTCGACGTCATGGGACGAATTCTCGAGGAAATGGAACAAGCCTGTGCACACATTCCTGTTGCGGCATGTTTATGCTCCTACAGTTTCAGGCTACGGCGTGTCAAAGACGCGGGCTATGTTTTTGACGTTTCTGCTTAGTGCTTGTGTCCACGAACTCGTCATGGTTATCGTGACGAAGAAGTTTAGGTGGGTTAAATATTACGATTGACCTACCTCACGAGTGTTCATGTTCTGTATAGATTTTACCTTTTTGTTCTTCAGGTGAGTCCTGTTCCTCGCCTAAGAGAGAATAGTCTCCTGATCTGTTATATCGGCAGATTGTACAATTACCGATGATTTTCATCAGTCGTATACCGGCTGTGAAGCGCAATAGACTGTTGGGTAATATCGTATTCTGGCTTGGTTTGTATGCTGGCTTTCCTTTGCTATGTGTAGCATATGTCGCCTACTGAGGTATCCTTATTTAAGCATTGACTACATTGCATACTATATCTCATCTCAACCACGTTGGTTTGATATATGGAATAATTCACAACGACATATGCATGAACAACTGATAAGGTGTGATGGATACATAGATTACAATGATTTAGGACAAGGCAGGTATTCACACGACGCCCAACTTGCCCAGCGCAACAGCTGTTGCGCGCCTCCTCTTATTACCCCTTCTGATTTCATTCAAGTCGTGATCGATATCGGCATCCTTACAAGAACCCAGCTGGAACAAGCTCTTCCCCAATTGCCCAAAGACATGCTGCCCGCCTCCACCATTGCCTCTATGTCTACGTCTGCCTCCTGCTCCACCTGCGCCGCCGCCTTGGGAGGCCGTGGGCGCGGTAGAACTTGTGAGAGGTAGCGGGAAGGGCGAAGGCAGCTCGTCGACGGAAAGGGAGTGTGGATTGAGAAAGGGGCCTGAGGTGATGGGAAGCGAGGATATGAGGCCAGCTTGAGTAGCAGAGGAAGTGGCTGATCCAAGAGGGGTCGGTGGTGGGGATGTACCAAGTTTATTTCTTAGTTTGCGGGTGATATGCTGGCGCGACGAGGCGTCCATGGCGGGGTCTGGAGATGCTGTCTGTATACAGATAGAAAGGGGAAGATAACGACCTACCAGTTGTGCCCTCGCCTTCCTTCTCTTCACGAGCGCGCCTTCGTCTCTCTTCGATGCCCTCCAATAGGCGCTCCCTCACACGCTCACGTCCCTTCCGCCATTCCTCTTCAACACGCTCACGCTCCTCATCGTACGCATTCTGTGCACACTCGAGCCCGTGCCGTTCTTCCCATTCTGCTTGCGCAAGAAGTGCGCCACGCTCGAGGCTGAGGGGTAGGAGCCGGAGGTTATAAAGCGAGACAGTCTCGGGATGCGTGGCTAGCTGTGCCATAGTTGTATGAAGAGCAGAAATTGTCTCGTGCAAATGCCTGCCACTGGGATGCAGTTGCGATGGGTACATGTAAACGCGAAAAAAAAGAACTCACTCGTCCCGCCGATCACTCATCTCCTTGCCCAATTTCCCAGCCAGCTCTCTCCGTTTTTTCTCTTTCTTCCCATCATCGACTGTACCTAAACGCTTTTTGAAGACGTAATGATATAGAAATCACACTACGTACTATGGTGCGAGATGTGTATCCGTGAACTGCTTGCATGGGCATGATGGCCCTGGTGAGTATAGATATCGGACGCCATAGACCCCGAGGGCTGTTTGAAGTGAGAACTCGAGTGTGACGACTGGATGTGATGGGATGCGGAGGAGTAGGAGAGAGGGAAGAGGCCTGGCTGAGGATGCGGCATGATCGTTGTGGAAGGCTACTTTCAAGTTAGCGACTTCAGGCCCTCGGAGAAGACAGCGGATCAGCCCTCTGTTCCGATCCCCAATGACGGAACCATTATCACCGCCCGCCTAGCTCAATCGGATAGAGCGTCAGACTCTTAACTGGCCATAGGCGATGTGATCTGAAGGCTGCGAGTTCGACCCTCGCGGTGGGCTAGTCAGCTTTTTGTTTTCATCCGTCGTTTCCATCTGACATTTATACACAACGACCACCGGCCTACCTCATCCCTTTATTTTAACAAGGTGCAATATATTTCTTACAAAATTTGTCAATATACACTATACGACCGGACTCTTGAGAACCAAAATGGCCGCTCGTTCTTCAACGCAACTGGATTCACATCCCCGGTTCCAAGGTGTACAGAATTATATGCCAGAATATTCAACTTGTTCCACCGACCAAGTGGCCGCGAAACGAGGTCAAGCGTCATGACAAATGTGTACCGGTTGGCTTCACTGCCATCGGAGTTATTTACAGATGATGTTGGTAGGTTGTCTGTTGGAAGGGGATACCGACCACTCGCGTCGAGGAGATTGGTGATTTGGATTGTGGTATCCGTTATGCTCCAGGTTCCTATGTAAAAACCCTGCAGCATTGTGTGAAATCATAAATGATGTATTAAATGTTGACTATTACCTTCATACGAAGTGTAGGTTTTAAGAGAGGTATGACTTGTTGCGGAGTGAACTCTTCATTAGCGAGCAAGGAAAGTACTTGTCCGCTTGGGTAGAAGCGGCTGACGGATTGTTGGATGCCGTCTCAATTATGAAGTCCGACTACTTACAGGTAGCGGTGGTAAGTAATCAGGTGGTTGATCTTTTGGCACAGATGAGACTCAGATATGAATTTTCCATGTGCGACTTACGGTAACCCAGGAGTTCTCACTGAGGCCTGGACGGCTAAAAAAATATATGTAAAAGATCAGCAAACGTGTTGGTTGAATCAACGTCTCGAACTCACACGTAATGACATGTTGCAATATACACGCCATCCAAGCGAACACGAGGATGTTCGATATAGACACGTCTATAATCATATAGATATCGTTCTAGGACCGAGGTTAAGTCCTCGTCACGAGTGATTTGTGGGGGGATATATGTGGCCCCGACCAGCTCTCTGTGTAGGTGATGAGTGATAGCTCTGCACGTTCTGTGGTGAGGAAGTACCTCCAGATCACTGAATCCAGGGCTATGACGCGTGCCTTGCGGCACACGGAGGCAAAACGCTCGATCGAAGTAGTATCAAGCTTCCTGAGGAACATTATCAGAAGTTCCTCAGGAACCATTTGCAGATGCACAGGCTCTTCCTCATTCTCAGGTTCGAACGAGAGATCACCCGGAAAACCAGCGAGTATGCTGGCTAGGACCTGGCTCGTGACTCTGACCGCGGAAGCACCGGCACGAGACTTCACAGATAATGAAGTCTGCACTTTTGCTGTCAGTTCCTTTATAGAGTCGTGGACAGCAGAAGCAGTAGACTTCTGTAGCGTATTCTGCTGTGCAGCTTCAATGGAAGCAAGTGCTTCCTCCCGGTGGTAAACCTGATCTACGTGCGGGTCCTGCAGAGCAAATGAGTATGATACAATTTGCGTCTATCAGCCGAAATACCATGCGGAACGCTTGACGGTATAGAAGGAGCGCATCGTCAAGATCTCCGCTTTGTTCACGCTCTACAGCACGACGATATACGTTGAGTGCGGAGCCGAGCTTCTGAGGAAGCGAGGTAGCAGCCAGATAGATCGACGGAGTATAGCTGCCGGCTATAACCTGGGACGAGGGGCCTATAACATGGGGGAGTGCTCCTGGAATGCCTGGTGCTTCAGCAGCCGCCTTACTCGAACTCTGGTGTGGGCTATTTACTTCCTCTGCGTCATTTCTAATAGTAGATGTACCAGAGGCCCCTGCACTGGCAGCAGCCTTTCTGCTTCGCAACTCAGCTAGCCATTCCTGTCTGAACCTCTTGAGCTCGTTGGTCTCCTCCTCGGGACTTATCGAGGAGATTGTGGATTGCATCGAGTTAAAGAGAAAGTTAGGACAGAGTTATCTGCTAAGTTGGCCGAGTAATCGGCCGTATTATATAATTGTCGGTCGACGTAAGCGATATTATTTAACTCTTCTCTCCACGTTCATATCCGTGGTCATTTATTGGCCTCCTCTTCCGCTTCCCACCCGAATTTATGGAGAGCAACAAGGACGAAGCTCTCAAGTGTCTCGCTATTGCGAGGAAACACTTCGATTCAGGCAATATACCCTCTGCACGCAAGTTTTGCCAAAAGTCGATATCCCTGTTCGAAACCTCAGAGGCTCTGAGCCTCCTTACATCCATTAATGCCGTCCCGGAGGCGGGATCGTCGGCATCTGCATCCACGTCAACATCTACCGAGGAGCATCCCTCTGCGTCTGGTACAAAGCATAGGCATCCGTCAAGCTCGAGTTCAAGCTCGAGAAGTAATGGCACGGCAGGGGGCATTGGCGGTGAGAAGAGGGAGTACACGACGGAGCAACATGCTGTTGTGAAAAGAGTGCGGTCATGCAAGGTTACGGAATATTATGAGATATTAGCTGTGAAAAGGGACTGTGACGAGGCGGAAATTAAGAAGGCCTATCGCAAGGTACGTTCCTATAATGTTGTATGGCATTGAAGAATCGGTCGACAAACCTTCATAATAACAGCTAGCTCTTGCTCTCCATCCAGATAAAAATGGTGCGCCTGGCGCTGATGAAGCGTTCAAATGTAACTATCCATCTTGATTTTAATAGGAATGTGACATTGACGTCGTTCCAGTGGTCTCGAAAGCATTCCAGGTCCTTTCAGGTGTGTTGACGTTGTTTATACGTTCTTTCAAGCTACTCAACAAAGCTCTGTATAGATGCTCAGAAACGAGCGGTCTACGATCGTAGCGGTGATGACCCAGAGTCTCGATTTGGTGGAATGTCTTCTCGTTCATCCGGCTTTTCTGCAAGTCCATTCGGCGGCGGCACTTTTGAAGGTGAAATCAGCCCAGAGGATTTGTTCAATATGTTCTTTGGTGGTGGTGGTGGTGGTGGTGGTGGTGGGAATGTGTTCGGCACTGGTTTTGGTGGTGGTCCAGGTGAGTCTAATACATATGATGGAATAATTGATCGTGTAAAAATGAATGGGCCTTAGTGTTCACCGCATCGTTCGGACCTGGAGGCTTTCGAACAACTCGTATGGGTCGACAGGCACATCACCAACAAGGCGCTGCAGACCAACGGTCACTGCTCATTCAACTCATGCCTCTACTGATTTTATTCGCGTTTTCATTACTATCTGCACTTCCTAACATGTTTGGCACAGCAGCCGTGCCAGATCCCCGATTCTCTTTCGAGCCTTCGGCAAGGTACAATCTCGCGAGACAGACTGGCGACATTGGGGTTCGATATCACGTCAACAAGGCAGAATTCTTTGGTCACCCGATTATTGGCGCCGAACTTGCACGGGAAGGGGATTCTGGACAATCATCAGGGGGGAATTCTGGACAATCATCAGGAGGGAATTCTGGACAATCATCAGGGAAGACTGGAAAGCGGGGACCGGCTGTCACGAAATTCGAAAAGACGGTTGATCATGTTTACACCCAAGACCTCTACGTTCGATGTCAGCGGGGGATGGATCGCAAAGAACGAGCAAAGGAACAGGAAATTGGTCTATTTGGAATTGGGACGGACTGGGAGAAGGTCCGAGCAATTGAAAGGGAAGTAATAGGGAGCTGCGAAGAGTTGAAGCGGCTTGGTGTGTTGAACAGATGACACGAGTGTACTAGACTTATAATACGGTATTTATTTCACTTGAATGCGCGCGGATACGTTATGCATTGTGAGGTTTTCAAACGCGTGGTCTAGTTTCACGATGATGCGGCAGCAGCAGCCCTCTCCCTCTCGAGTTTGATGTAAAAATTCTCCTGGCGCTCCACTGTCATATGTTAGTAAAGACCAGATGCGGGGGCCGCATTAGGACTCACAGGCCTTGAGATGGTAGCCATACCTAATGAAATGTGAACAGCAAATTTGAAAGACAACGCACGAGACATACCAGTAAGCATATCCGGCGGCGGTTCCAAGGCCCAAACTGCAGGTGATGTCAGTCCAAAAACGCTTTCTGAGCATGCCGGTAATGGGGGCGATGGCCATTGTCGAGGGTTGGTCTTGGATGGGTGTGGTTTCGGTCTGAGGGCGATGTCGGACTCGCTCCCCAAACGCGTCCAAACACAGGCTTACGTAACCCATCTACCTCAGCAATCCCTTGTGCCCAGCTTGTGCCATCGTTTCGCCACCATCGCCAGCTCGCTGTTTCTCCTGTATCCCTGCGACACATCTAACTTCCTCTCTGCTACTATCATCGCGTTATCAGCCCTTTTACGCTCCACAACAACGCCTCAGTTCCACTCGACAGCGTGACCCACTTGTTCTCATCCATGGAAGACCCCTCAGGCTCAGGAGGATGGCGATTTGCCCAGTGCTTTGGCGACAAGGGCGAGGTTGAAGATATTACAGAAGGTATTTTCTCTCTCTGACCTTTATCTCCCTAAAGAGCGTGTTACAACTCACTCACACTAACAGCCGACATCATATCTACCGTCGAGTTTGACTCAACAGGCAATTATCTCGCCACCGGTGACAAGGGTGGTCGTGTCGTTCTTTTTGAACGCAATGAATCGGTCAGTATCGCTACATCTATTTCCATTGCCTTCCGCGTGTCTGTCTTCCTTTGGGTGCCAAGCTGATTGTGCTTCTGATTGTGTGGTTTGCTTATTATGGTGTCTCCCGCGATTTTTGCCGTTTTTATGCTTGAACATCTGTTTCTGCCCCGCGATTTCCGACTATAAAGAAAAAAGGCTGCGAGTACAAGTTCTACACCGAGTTTCAATCCCACGAGCCCGAATTCGATTATCTCAAGTCTCTCGAAATTGAGGAGAAAATCAACAAGATTCGGTGGTGCAAACGCCAAAACTCCGCACATTTTCTATTGTCAACAAATGGTGGCGTCTGCTATTATTATCCACTATCGTGCCTCGGGTCTGACGTGCTGAGACAGACAAGACAATCAAACTTTGGAAGGTTTTCGAGAAATCCCTGAAGGTCGTCTCCGAATCCAATCACTACGATGGCCAGCGAGCCTTGCCACCTCCTACCAA